GGGTTGAAAGCTCAAAATTCATAGGTCAGGTGACAGGCTGGAGACTTCTGCTGGCTCACGGGATTCTGGGGGGCTGACAAATCCAAAATCTGTAGGTCAGGCACCAGGTGGAAACTTCTGCGGGCTTGCATCCCAAGATCTGTAGGTCCGATTAGGGAAAAGTACAGAGTTGAGAGAGAGAGAGAGGGAGGGAGTTCTGCCAAAATATCTATGTATAGTCTGAAAGCAGACAATAACCCAAGGAAATGCCACTTTCAAATGATTGATTGATTACATTAGATTACACTATACAAGGTCATTGCATTACATTACATTACATTATGGAACAGCAACTAGTCTAGTACTTGGCCAAACCACTGAGAATCATAGCTTAACCAAGCTGACACATAAAATTAAACATCAGACCTCTCATTACTGTTATATGTACACAAACACACACACACACACACACAGCTGTGCTCTAAAGCTCCCTCACCTGGTGAGGATGGTGATGGTTAATGTTGCTTGTGAACTTGGCTGGCCCATGATTCTCGGTGGTTCGACAGTTTTGATGTAGTTTGGCCGCTCTGTAATGATGTAATCACCCCACAATAAGATCTGATATGAGCAGCCAATGAGTTGAAAGAGAGTTTCCTTGGAGGTGTAGCCTGTATCCAATATATGTGGACTTTCTGGCAAAGCTCACTGGCTTTTCCTTGCTCTGGATCCTGCAGCTGGCTCCTGTTAATCTGACCTCCAGTTCTTGGGACTTGAGCTAGCAGCTTACCTGCCAATCTTGGTATTTGTTGGCCTCCACAGTCTGTGAGCCAGAGGCCTCCTGTCTGACCTGCCATCTTGGGTTCACCAGCCCCTGCAGCTACATGAGTCAGGAGAAGTCTTCAGCCTGGAACACAGACTTGGGACTTTCCAGCCTCTACAATCATGTGAGCCATTCCCTTGACATAAATCTCTCTCTCTCTCATATATATGTGCATATATATGTATATGTATCATATGTATATATGTATATGTATGCATCACTGGTGTTGCTTCTCTACAGAACCCAGCCTAAAACACCTGGTTTCAGCCCATACTTCAATGCTTCTCTCACTTTGCCTTGAAATTTTCTTTCAACACCTTGCTCTCCAAAGTTCCAGCCCCTTAAGGTCCTTTAAACATGACTATAGCTTTTCTAATAAACCTTTTACTAATATGTTAATTATTGTAATTCTTTATTGTGTTATCTCATTCAGATAATATTATCATTTCAACTAACACTCAAGTCTTCAAAAGAGGACATTGGTAGCAATTTCAAACATGAGATATATAGGTATACTGGACTTCTTGAGAGCAGGAACCTTGATCTACAATGTAGTCTCTGGACATACAGTCTACCATTCTCCTCATATAAAAGCAAACTCCAAAATAAGTTTCACAGGTTTTTTGTTTTGTTTTGTTCTTTAAGCATTCTAATATTCCCATGGAGCGCAAAACGTTAACACACTTGGCTGCTCACTGAAAGGCTGGAGGTTCTACTCTACCTAGATGCACCTTGGAAGAAAGAGCCAGCAATCTACTTCCAAAACATCAGCCACTGAAAATCCTATGGAGTATACTTTTACTCTGATACACATGGGGTCGCCATGAGTCAGAATCACCTTGGCTATAACTGACCTAAACCAGAAGCCAAACCCATTGCTGTTGAGTCGATTCTGACTCATAGCAACCCCACAGGACGGAGTAGAACTGTCCCATAGGATTTCCAAGGAGCAGCTAATGGATTTGAACTGCTGACCTTTTGGCAAGCAGCTGTAGCTTTTTCATATTCCTATAGATGATTCTTTTTGTGAAGATGGGCTTTTCATCAACAACCAAAAAAAGATTTGTGGTTTGATTTCTCAGCTTCTATGAATTCAAAAATTTTCCATCTTTGAAAGTTGTGTATGTTGTGTGCATAAGGTTGCTTTTACTCAACCACCACAATTGCTAAAATCTAGGTCCGCACTGAAGAATGTGAATGTGAAATTTCCTTCATCTCGCTTTTGTGTAAAGCCAAGTTGAGAGACGTGGTGTTTATAAATGATTCTTTGCCTAATTTGAAATCTACCCCCCTTTTTTGAACATTTTATTGTGTTTTAGGTGAAAGTTTACACAGCAAATTTGTTTCCCAGTCAACAATTTATACACAGTTTTTTCTGACATTCGTTGCTATCCCCGCAATGTGTCAGCACCCTCCCCACTTCCACCCTGCCTCGCCCATTGCCATGCCTCCAGTGTCCCTGACCCTCCATGATTTTTTATATTTTTTTTGGGCAAATGTTGCCTCTTTGGTCTCATGTAGTTGGTTACTCTAAGGAGCACATTCTTCATTGGTGTTACTGTTTATTTTGTAGGGCAGTCTACTGTTTGGCTAAAAGGTGACCCCAGGAGTGGCTTCAGTTCCAAGTTAAAAGGGTGTCTTACAGGGGTTCTTCCAGTCTCTATCAGTCCAGTAATTTTAGTGCTTTCTATAAATTTGAGTTTTGTTCTCTATTTTTCTCCCATTCTAACCAGGATCTTATATTGTATCCCTGCTCAGAGTGGTTGCTAGTGGTAGCCAGGCACTAGCTAGTTCTTCTGGTCTCAGGCTAGAGGAGGCAGTGGTTCATGGGGGCCATTAGTCCT